TTGGGACTCGGGCTAATGATATCCATGAATGTATCATAAAGTTTCGGTCGTCATCGTTAATATCAACGGTAGAACTTACGTGAAGATTACGTGCATGATGTCGCCGATCAACCCGTTGTGTCGGAGCGGGAACTCCGAGGTCTCGCAGATTGCTCTCAGCAGACACTCCCTTCCGGAATACCCGGAGCTACGGCAGATGGGGAAAAATCAAGGAGAGCTCTCACGACGCGAGGCGAGGAATCCGAGGGAGATTTGAGGTGGTACGAGAGAAGATCGCGATGCGGCAACAACTGTTTACTTTGCGCTTTACGATTCTCTAAATACCGGATTGAAGGCTCGTGCGCATACGTAATTCGTACGTACCTATGTATACCTGCGCCAGGCAATGTAACGCAATTCCCAAACGCCCCGAATGCTCGTAAAATGGAGCCGGGAGTGCATTTCGCCTCGAATCTCTCCCCTGATTTCCCTACTGTTCGCTGCCGCAACGTCTAACGGGTCTAGCGTCTCGGCGAAACTTTTCCCGCGCGCGCGTTCCACGATCAACGCCGATTTGGGGGGCGATAATCGACGGTAGCGATCGGTTTTATCGCGTCATGCATGCCAATCGGGTCGTTTACGATATTCTGATTCAACAATGACTAGTTTTATCTATTTTGTCGAAGCGTTAGTAGGTACCGGACGTCGAACATCAGGAGAGGAACTCCAAACGCGATCAGAGAGCGAAAGAAAGGAAATAGAAACGACAAAGGTTTACAATGACCAAGAATTACAAGAAGAATTTTTTTATCATCTTTAGAACTTTGTTACTATTTAAAGATAGACAGTTGAATTGGATCTTTTTAATTCGAGAAAGCATGAATATCGTATGACGTTATTATAGATCAGTCGATTCCAAGATTTTGGATCAGATGGAATATTGATGCCGTAAGGCAACGCGAGAGGATTATATCAGTGAATTAGAAAGACCGTGTTCTCATAACGCGCAGTTATTTGTTTTTGCAAACTTGCCTCTCGAATTTACTTTCCAGAACTCGATAGATTGTGGTTCTCTCGATATTCCGCTTCCTTCTTTTTACCTCCGTCCAGGGCTCGAGGTACGTTATGTTCGGCGGTAAAGCGTAGTTAGCCTCGAAGAAATACGATAGCGAGATCGAATTCAGAGGATCCTCGAGTGGTACCGCGATAGCGACGAAGATCTGCAAGAAACGTTAATCGCATAATCGCCGCGCGATTATTATTTCTGCATGGGGACATTGGGATTGAGAGTAGTTTTAAGAGAACAAAATCTTAACCTTCTCTCTCAAAATCAAGATTCTAACAAATAATTAAAAATGTTTAAAAAAAATTTATATTTAACAAAATAATTAAGATATATTAAGATAAGAACACTCATGCGCGTAATAATATCGCGACTAGCACAATTTATTACTATAAAATGTTGTTAACAATATTTTACACATACTCACACCCATATTACTGTTTTTTGGAAATGTTAGACTCCTAATAGGCCGATGCAAAATTTCAGCAATATCTGAGTTTGCCGTCTTTGGTAGAACAATGTGCGACGTCATCGTCAGTGCCAAATTAAACACAAAAAGTCTACAATATAATAAAATCGTCTCGGATTAGACACAATAAAAATGTGTTATCGAGGCAACAAATATATTATTATAGGATATATAAAAGCAAACAATTGCATATATTCTCTTTTTTTTTTCATATTTAATCTCACGATAGTCATGTCTTTCACTTGTTAGAAGGTTAATATATTAAGACATGACTATCGTGGGATTAAATATGAAAATTAGATTAATATTGGATTAGCCAAGTTTATTAGTTTAGTATGCAAGCGGTAATTGATTTGAAAAAAAGAAAATATTGAATTGTGAAGCTTACAACGTTTTCTCTGGCCGGCAACAACACATGGCAGCTGATACTCGTAGAAACCGTCTCAATCTGCAGACTCCAGAACTTTGCGACGATTTCAGCCACCGAAAGATCGCTTTGCGACGTCATAACATGCAGAACCGGTCTGTGGGTGTCACTCTGTACAGTTATAACTGACGATCGTTAATCTGGAGTGCACACGGAAATCTTTTTGTATTAATTAGTCTGCTGTCTCCTCGAACATGATATTGATTTGTCGAAAATTTTAAAATTATTATAACAATTCTTGAAACTATAATACGAATGTGTTAAAATGAAGAAAGTTTGTTTTTTCATGATGACGATTTTTGCGTGAATCTATCGATTCGAAATCGAATCGAATTGTCTCGAGTGATAAATTTCTTACAAGAACTCTGGCAACTTGTATTTCCTAATATCGGAAAATAGTATTTGAATAAGAAATATGAGTTAAAAAAGCAAAGAGAATTTCAAAGGTATATATAAAAAGAACAGTTATTAAAATGTGATCTGATTTCCAATGTTAGCATAAGCACATTATTTTTAAAGATAGATAAACTTAGATATTATGTACTTTTTTTAAGAACAGATAAGTTAAGATATTATAGTTTTTGAAAATTGTTCTTCAAAAGTCCATAGAATCCATATAAATGTATTTAATTTATTCCCCTTCTTTGCGTTTAAATGCATTTATACATATACATTCACAAGTTCTCAAATTGCTTTAATAATGAATCCTAATTCTGTAATTAAATTTATACGGAAGAATCACGTTCCTCGTTTCCGCGCGGAGTAGCAACGGATTATCGGTGTTATCGCCTTCGTTGTAAATATTGGTCTAGCGTTTCTTGACACGTCTCTCAACGCGAAGAAATGGTTCGCGAGTTCTCGCACCAAGCGTTTAATTAAATTTGCGTAGGTGCTCCTCGAGCCTCGGAATTCGTTCACGGAGAGGGCGGGGTTATCGTCCGCGATTTTCGGTTACATTGTTAAAATGCAATTATGATCTCTCTTCTACGATGCATCAAAACTTCATGTGATAGAGAGGTGGTTGCGATTAAAGAGATCCGAAAGGGCGACTTCTCATTACGCGAAGGTAGAGTGCAGCTGCGGCTTAAACCGCGTGTATATAAATGAGCCCGCGTTCAGCCCGCGTAGCCGCGGCGGATTACGCTCGCTTTTAATTTCTCTTCCCGTTTTATCTCGCTCTTATTTTTTTTCCCTCTCTCGTTTTGCGCGTCGCGTCGCGTCGAAGAGTGATTTCCGCGTTCGCGGAACGAAAGCGCGCAACACGGGGAAACCGCGTAACAAACGGGACAATAATGAAGCGCATAATACGCGATGAGGCGCGGATAATTAAACGGGGCGCGGCTTAATGAAACGCAACGAATGCGGAGTCACGTATTTTTAAGGGACGCGATTAACGTTCGCGTCTCCGCGCCGCGCCGCGAAGATAAGCGTCGCGAGGGCATAAAGCGACGGATTTATGCGCGGACGCGGGCTAATTGATGTAAACGTATTAGTTCTCTTCTCTGTCACGACTTGCTATAAAGATGTATAAAGAGGATTGCGTGACGCTGGCGAGGATCGTTCACTGTCAAACGCATTCCACGTTCTCATCGTTCTTTTCACGGCGCGTCTCGTCTGCTATATCTTGCCTTTCTTTTTTGTTACAATCGTTTAGCTAACGAATGAGAATGTAATTCATCCACAAATATTGCCATACGAAGGATATCTGGTGGAAGGTGGAAGGATATATCTTGGAGTATTTTCATATGTCGAGTGTTGATCCGTACGTTAACTGAAGGATAAACACGGAATATTAATGGGGATGTGATTAATTTCTGTCCTCTCTCTAGCTAGGATGATTAATTATCCGTTTATTAGATATTCATGAAAGAGATTGAGATGGGATGTTTCTAGGATGCCCTAGTGGGCCTTCTCTTGTTTGAAATATATTTATAAAAGATGTCATGCTTTACGAGACCCAAAGGTGCTACAACCCAAAAATTAAATAAAGCGGCTTTAATTCTTCGCGAAGTATGGGTACGTTGGTATAGTTATTTTGCGAAGATGCACAGAAAAAAATCACATTGTAAATAATTTTTAGTATCATAAAAATTTTGTGGTAGCTATTTACTGTCCATGTCTTTAGTATTTTAATAAAAATACTAGACCAGAGTGCGCCAGTATTTTAATAAAAATAATGTTCGAGTATAATACTTACATATAATAAGATAATATAAAATATAATTAGCGTAATACACTAAGAAAATTCGCATACAATAAATTCGTTTATCACGAACATTTATTTTACGCTACTAGGATGCCAATTGACGATGAACAAATCCATCTCAACTCCACGCAAACAACGGACGTATGCAATTTATGAGAAACTCTCGCAGCCGCGTCTATGCTCAGTAAAGAAAAATTAAAGCCACAAGAATCTGCCGCCCGAGGCGCATTCCTTGTTCCTTGTCGGTAAAACGCGATACTGAAAAATTTGCATGCGGCGGCTATCCAGCTTAAGCTCTTTGTTCGCGTTTTATTATTATCATTTTTTATTGGCGATTGCTTTCACCGTGACGATACTGGCGGCAGAGATTGGAGCTATTATTATAGAATTTTTTTATCAGCCAGGTGACTCCGCCTGCGCTGCTCCGCCGCAATTGAGAGCAGTTCGACGAGATGCGTTTAATGCATTTTCACTTTTCATTATGCATTTATTCAAAGCGCGTTGACGCGAAAACTAATTTTATCTAAGGGTCAAAGTAATTGTTTAAACCATCTTTATTTGATCTGTCGCCGATGGACCTGTCGTTTGAATAGATTTAATTTTTTTTGTTTTGTAGTTTTGGTTAGTTTGTGTCTTTGAAGTTTATATTGGGTTGGCCAATAAGTCTGTGCGGTTATTTATAAGTAACATTTATAAGTAAAAAACGCACGGACTTATTGGCCAACCTATTATATTTACTGCGAAATTTTTCGCACCGATAGAATAAAACCTTGGCATCGTTTTTCAACAGCGAGCGACGAACTGTTTGAGCTACGTGACCAAACTAGCGCAACAATGTATCTCTCATACGTTTCTCTTCTTTTCTTTCGTCCATCTCGCAATGACTAAAAGTAACCGTGTAACATTTTCAAAGAGCAACATTGATATAAAGAGATTTTACGGAAAGAATCTCGCGCGTCAAATTATGTAAAGTTTCTATTTCGAGAGAGAGAGAGAGAGAGAGAGAGAGAGAGAGAGAGAACGGCGAATGAATTCTGAAGATTTTATATAAATTGCAAAGCTACGTTGACTCTTGCACACACATGTCCGACTGGAAGGTTCGTTGTTTATGAAAACCTGGATCTACGTTATTTTGCGGAGTGAACCGCTGCCATAATACACCGCGCGGTTTTCGAGTTTACGGTATTTCATTTAAGCGACACATCCACTCCTTCCTTTTTTTTTTCGTCCTTTTGCTAACGGCAGCCGTACGTTTTCAGTGGCGACGACCGAATGGCTGTTTACCGCAGATGTTTCCTCCTTTTTACGAGGTGAACTTTTCCAGCGCCCAGGGTTTTTCCACATTTTCGCCCGGAAGGAACCTCCGTTAGTTCGCGGGGACGATTTTCTCGGATGGAAGTCAATAGAAACACGTACTGTTGCGCCGCCTAATGCCGACGGGTCACTCGACGCGATACTGTCTTGTCACACGACTGTTTTTACGACCTCCATAACATTAACGCACGTTGAGGAGGGTGTCATTGTCACCGTTCTACGGTCGGCTTTCTTTTTACGACCGAAGAGGTTTGGCTGACGTTGATTTGATAGTATAAAAAGACTCGAAGGGTCCGAATGTGAATCAGAATATAGTAACCGACAGCTCAAAAATAAAAAAATGTCAAAAAGTCTGCACACACACACACACACACACACACACACACACACACAATATGACTGGTTGCGACAGAGAAAAAATCAAATTTGTTTAAGATGAATTTATTATAAAATAATACAATTTAACATATAAGATTTAGTTGATATTTTCTAGATAAAAAAAACAATTTTTTAGAAATGAGCAATAAATTAGTCGAAAGTTGAAAATAGATGTTAAAAGTTAACAAATGTAAAGTCTCTCAAAAACCTGCCTTTTCGATATTCCATTCGTTTATCTTTCTCTATACAGTCTAGATTTTTTATCGCTTGCCTTTTTTAATTTATATACATAAATATAATATTATTACATACATAATATTATTACATACATAATATTATTATATACATAATGCGATGCTCATATAAAAATACTACTCTGTAATATATATGCAACATTTACAATATATGTAACACATTCAGATCTTACATTTTTCGCCATAAACGCGAGGGGGGACGTTTTCAAGAGTCACAGCCGAACGTGGGAAAGTTTTCGCATGGATCCTCATTGCTGCGTTCTTTTCGCAACGTTTACGCGCGAGAGTGAAACGGCTTCTCCATTGAGACCTGAGTGTTTTCCACGTCCTTTCCCTTTTATTTCCGCGTAAGTTACACTACGCATTCTTACACGGGATGCTGGCAATCGGCAATGGAGCGTCTCGACTCCGGCGAGGCCTGCCGACGATACGCGTCGTCTGCGAATCCACGGTGAATCCGTTCGACAAAGGACAACGGGCTCCT